GGGGGGGGGGAGTATATGGTGTGCAATTGGGGTACACCAAGTGGTGTACCCCTAGCGGGACTGGTAAATATTACCTCACTTGACCGCACAATCGGCGGGCGTATATATTCCACTGTTACGCGGTTTCTTTACCTTCCCTCACCTCTATCTACCTACCTCTATTTCCTCCCCCAAACAAGGTAAATTTTAATCTTACCTTATCCTACCTCTACCTTCCTCCATCCAAACACAGTGTTAAGTTACTAATTCTCAGTTTAGTGAGAATCAAACGTTAAAGGAAGCATACAATTATAAAGGATTAAAGGATAAAAAATTCTCACTTTGCAAGTTCAAGCCTTCAAACCTCTTAAACAACTACGAGCTTGAGTCCTATGAGTGTTTCAAGTAAGTCATATAGAGTAATACTTATTAACTTTTTGATGTCGATGTTCGTACTATAGTACTTTTTCTATCTTGCAAAAAGTTTCACATTTAACTTGATATAAAGATTATTAAGAAAAGTGTGATTGTGTTGGTGAAAATGATGTTGAGAAAAAAGAAATTATCCGAGCCACAAATGCTTTCTAAAAGTAAAAAATGGAACCTTTTTGGGACGAAAGACAAAGAAAACGTAGAACCTTTTAAAATTATTGAACGAATAGCTAGAGTAGATTGTATCAAAAAATTATTTTATTCAATCGTTTAATAATATTTTAATAAAGGAACACTATAGGATCCTTTTTTATTCCACCATGTACATGGTACCGGTAAAAATGCTACTCCATCTGTCCTAAAATGACCTTTCCCGTCACTATTCACATAGTCAAAGTTTAATCATTTTCTTTATCTATTTTCGTTAGTTATTTGATAAAATAATATTTTCATGTCACCTCTTATTTTGTAAAATTTTTAATGTAGTTTTAAAATACTCCCTCCGTCCCAAAATAAGGTTCACAGTTTGACTTGACACAAAATTTAAGGAAAGTGAAAATATGTAGTTGAAAGTAATGCAGAACAAAGAGAAATTTGTGAGCCACTCAAACTTTTCCATAAAAAGAAAGAGATAACTTTTTTGGAACATCCCAAAAAGGAAATAAAAAGTCTTTTTTGGGAGATAAGGAGAATAATTTTTATTTTTTTAATTTTACACCTATATTCAAATAAATTAAATTAAATATAGTTCAATCAAATCTTATAAAACGAACTGGAACATTCTCATAAATCTTTCGCCTATGGACCATGAGCTGCTTTTAAACAAAAACTACTCTGCTGTCACTTCTCACTTTTTTACTTCGCATTTCTAAGATGTCAAATTAAGGCTCATTTCATTCCTTCTAAGAGGAGTGGTACTACTCACAACACCGAGCGGCGTTATTGGCATTTTCATGCCTGGGAGCGTTAAACACTGCCCTCCTCTCCCGTTAAAGATGCGTTAAAATTCTTGCATCAAATTGGAAGGTGTATTAACGCCTTTTGCCTTCTTTTTTCTCTCTCTTTTTTTCCCTTTTCTTCTCTATAAATTAAATTAATTTTTTTTAAAATTTAACATAAATACAAATTTTTCTCTATCTATCATCTTTTTTTAAAAAATTATTATTCAAGTATTTTTTTATTTTTTCATGAGTGTAATTTTTTTATTTAATGAATGTAATTTTTTTATTTAATGAATGTAGTTTTTTATAATGAATGTAATTTTTTATAATGAATGTATTTTTTAATGAATTATTATCGTTTCAATTCTTTTAAATAATTAAATAATTAAAGTTTATTAATTTAATTTTAGAAGATGTGTATTTAAAATGTAAAAAATGAAGTTTGAAGCTCCAATTTGAAGCCCCGGGGCTTCAAACCCATTTCTACTAAAACTGTGAGGTAAGTTAAAGCTGACGTGGCAGAGAGAGAAGCTTTGAAGCCCCGGGGCTTCATGGGTATTTCCAGTGCCCTAAAATAATTTATACAGAGTATTTTTTTTTAGAAATTTTAAACAGAGTATTGTTTCTCATTTCCTCGCATTAACTTCAACCATTCAATTATACTATATTCTTTTGAACTTTGTGTTATTTTAACACAAGAAGAAGAGCGCCAAACATCCTATCGTTAATCAGCACAACAATTGTCAGTGGGTGTTCTGCAGTTGGCAAATACACCGAGTGCTAAGGGGGTAAGACTCAAATTCAGTTCCTGACAATTATGCTAGGAAGCAATTATACTAAGCATATGACCTCTACAAATATCAAGTGCAGACTCTACTATTTGCCACCAATCCGATTAAAATTCAATTTACAACCTCTCAGTGACCGTGCGACCGGGTCTAAAGAAGCCTCGGCGATGAGACTCATCCTTTTTTTTCTGTTAATCAACACAACAATTCATTAAAAATCCAATGGTTGGACACTTGGATCTGGACATAAAGACTAATTAGATAATCAAACGTAAGCATTACGTTACCCCCATCATCAATCTTGCATTATAACTCGATCCAAACAAATACACTCTTTATCAGACAATTAAAAAGAGAAAATAAAAATTAAAACATTCATTATTAAATGTCCTTTGATCCTTTAATCCAAACAAATACACCCTTTAATAGTATATATATACGAGTAAAATAAGAATAACTATCCTTTTTTGGTTTTCCCGGGCTAATCACACTTTGAAGATAAATGATATGTACTACATTTCATCAAAGAAAGAAAAAGAGGAAGATAATGGGAAAAAAATTAATAAATGAAATAGATATACACACCACTTGGCATTTGATTTGAAGATTACCTCCCAGCCTCACTGAATCTCAATGCATTGTCTTTCCGTTCTTCATTTTTTTCTTTATGTTCTCTCCCAGAAGCTTTATGTTGTTAGCAGTCTCCCAGATGGCATAGCAGCTCCACCATTTTTGTGATTAGAGCTCCCAAGCTCAGATGCCAGGGCAGCAATGTCTGGCGGTAGATCCAAGCTCCGGCTTCTCCGTCCCCAACTAGAGTTCGTTGAGTTTAAGATGCTTGATGAATGCTTGTTGATTTTATCCAAAGAATCGTCGTTTCTACTATGTATCCCTTCCAAGTCGCCGCTGTTCAAGGGATCGCCACCATCATCATCATCATAAACCGGCTTCCTTCCCATTTCTAATTCGCTTGCCGTTTTCCCCAAATTTGGACTGTAACTGCCCCCACCTCCTACTACTACCCGAGGTTGCATCTCGGCCTCTTTTTGAATCATTGCCCTGAAATTGTTCTTTGAAGGAGGAACGCTTGTGCAGAACACCTCCATGATGTTTTGGATCGTCCCTTTGTTGAATGGGTTGATCCGTTGATCGTACCGGTTCCTAAAGTTCTCATAGGTTGACTGCAGCCAAAAGTCCAACCAACAAGTCAAAACTCCTATTGAATGTACTCGCTCCGTCTCAGTGTATTTGTCTAGTTTGACTTTTTCAAAAGTCAAACTCGACGAACTTTAATCATCAATTACTCTCAATTTATATTGTACTACGTATATTACAACAATAAAATAAAATTTTCAAAGTTCTCAACAAAATAAATCAAATGAAATTATTTTTATACTAATATATTTTTATACTAATATACATTACAGCTATTTTAATTGAGGCCCCAAGTTGGAGTAATACCAATTGTAGAAAAGATGGTGGAAACTTGTCTTAGGTGGTTTGGACATTGGAGAGAAGACCAATAGAGCATCCAGTGAGGGTTGATCAAATGGTGAATAGACATGTGGCTAAAGGAAGAGGTGGACCTTAGAAGACTTGGCACGAAGTGGTCAAGGAGGGTCTTCGCGTGAATGATCTCACAACAGATGTGATACATGATAGGGCGCAATGACATTGTTTGATCTATATAGCCAACCCCACCTAGTGGGATAAGACTTTGTTGTTGTTGTTGTGGTCCCATGTTCATCCAGTTTGGCTAGAAAAGTCAAACTGAAAGAATACACTAGGGCGGAAGTAGTTGTTATTAAACCTATACTATGGGCACCATAGTAAAAGAAAAGTTCACTATTTAAACCTATACACGGAACGAATTCACTATGTTTTGGCTTTGGGTATGATGGAATAAATTAAAATGTCTCTATCTGCGCTTCTTTCAACAATGAAGTAGCAGGTAGTTAATGCAACTTTCTACGCTCTTCATGGATCATTCAAAAATAGCCGCTCTATGTTATAAACATACGGGTTCTGCGTGATTATTCGTGGTGCTTGAGCTGGGGGTCTCTTTGAAAATACTCTCTACTTTCGAGTAGGGGTAAGATATGCGCGCACACACCCTCCCCAGAGCCTACTTTTGTGGGTTTCAACTTGGTTATTGTTGTTGTTGTTTATGGACACCATTTTTGTTTTATTCTTACAAAAGTGATTAAATGTGAGTAAAAAGTGAAGTGATGAGCTAATGTGAGAGAAAATAAGTCTGTTTGGTAATTTATGATATAAAGTGGTGCGGATGCAAACAAGTTTGGTACCAAGCTGGCGTGGTATTGCTATTTAGCTGAAACCTAACATTTTTCCAAAAGTATGGGTTGTGGTTTAAAAGAACTTTTGTGTCTTTTTAGTAGTCTTAATACTGTGGGTGTCAAGCTACAATACTCTATTACCTTTAAAAAGTGTTGTGACTTGAACAAAATGGAATATAGAACTAGGCCTATATAATTAATACACAATGAAGAGAGAGGGAGAGAGAAAGAGAGAGAAGGACCAAACCTGGTTTGTGCTGATGAGGTAAGAATGGAATACTGAAAGGCCACCAACAAACCAAGCTGTTATGAAAGTATAAATGATGAGCACAATTGAGGCTGGAGTCTTGCACATTGCTTTCCAGATGGAAGTTTCTTCACTATTCATAATCCTTCTAATATAGACCCAGCAAAATGCATGCACATACAAGCAAATGAGAGTTGTCGAGAAAATGAACATAAAGAAGAAACGATAATTCCTCTGCAAATGCACCAAAATTTTATGAAGTTAGAGGAGAAGACATTTTAGCATATTCCGAGTACTCCCCCACCCCATAAAAGAAATCATGTTTGGAGACTTGTGTTTGTCGGAAAAAAACAGTTTTATTTGAACAAAAACTAGTAATTTTCATCATATCCAGTGTGGAACAGAACAAGTGTAAAACAAGTTAGATTTAGTTAAACCAATAAATAAATACATAAATATAGTTAAAATTTCGAGTATGAGTAAGCTCAGCGTACACACACCCTCCCAGACCCTACTTTTTGTAGGATTTTACTAGGTTTGTTGTTGTTGATTTCCAATAGTTGTACCTTTACTAAAATTTAAAATTTTGGGACAAATGGGGTAATATAAGCCTTAACGGTGCATCATAAAACTAAAATATTCAATTGTAAGCATTGAAATTTGAACATCAAATGTGCTTTGAAATTATTAACAATCCTTATTTTTCCATCGCAAACCAGTATTAGGAATATGTCCAATTCGGCATCTAACATTTGGGATATGTTTATAACACGGAAACTGTTAGGGAAAGGAAAGGAATAATATTGTGAAGGTTTTTTTTTGCTTATGTTTGGTTTTATGGCTGGGAATTGAAAAAGATATGGAGTAATGACTACGAATGTTTTCCTTTTTTAAAAATCATATACTTAAATATCTTAGCCTTTATGTGACATAAATAAAGAGAGTTTAAAAAAATATCTAAACCTCATAAATTGAGTTTGAATCTATCCTTCAATTTCCCTCAAAATTTTAATCCTTTTCACCTTCCTCATTATTTTCTTTCCATACCATTTTCTAGGAACTAAACAGAGTTACAGACCCTTAAGTCTCAAAGAAACGATATTGAAGAGAAACCTGGAATAAAAAGATCTGGAAGATATGTTTCTATAAGAGAGCAAATGGTCGTGTGTTGTGGAGAAAGTGAAGCAAAAAAAAAAGCATGACTATTTTCAAACGCCCAATAGGAAAGTGGTAAGATTTTGATTTTCATCATACTTACCAATCCAATGCATTGTCCGACCCAAGGGCAATGATGATCAAACCGTTCCACACAGTTATTGCAAACTGAACAATGTGAGCAACGTGGGGGTCTATAAAGCATGCAGGTGTCACAGTATTTGACTTTCACAGTTATTCCATTAACATCAACATCCTTCACACGTGGCAAACGTAATTGTGGGGTCTGTCCAGGTCCAGCTTGTGCATTCCCTTCAAAGTTTTCTGGCTCGGGGGGGTTAAGATTGCGAGGAACAATGCCAGGATCTCTTGATGAAGTCAGCAGGAGGAGGACCAAGTCCTTGAAAATCAAACAAATAAATCACTGGTTAAGATTCTCCTGATGAAGATATGATTTCATCACTTCCTCTTTAGAAGCCGAGGGAATACAAGAACGGATTATTTGGCTTTAGGTATCTTTTTCTTCTAATTATCAAAAAAGCATTTGTCTAATAGGAGATTGGGTCATTGATCACTGTGATAATGGCAATTTAAGATGCAATGTAGGCTATCTATATTCACACAAGTCCGAGAGAATGTTATAAGAAATTTTGATTTCCCTTTCGGCTGCTTTTTGGCTGCCAAACTTGTATTTGCATGGGCAGTTTTTTTCTGAGGAGGTAATACACAAACAATTCTTCTTGAGTGAAATAGCTTTGAATTTTTATGTTGAATAATGCATAATACAGCACTACAGGAAAAAGACACAAGTCTTGTGAAAATTGTAGATTTGATCTTTTTAATTACAGCTGACCTTCAGTTTCAAGATAATTATTCCATGAAAGTTTAGTCACTAGTTGCATGACTTTAAGTTGAACATTTGTGACAAAGATCATGTAAAACATTCCCATTTAATCCACTCCTAAATTTAAATTTCAACCTGAGTCCTTGAAGATTGTGATACTTCAAAATTCCACAATAAAGTTGATTTTTGCTCAACACATTTCACAAAATAGAGGTCGCTTAGATTTAAGACCGTGCATGAAATAACTCACAAAACTCGTAACCATCAAAAGCATAAAAGTTTTTCAAATAACAATAAAAACACTTTGTCACTATCTTTCTTGTCAAACATTTCCAAATGTTTGAGGTGTTTTCTTATGGATGTTTGTGGTTGCCGTGTAACTTTAGCAGAGATAGTCTTTCTTAAGCTATTTGTACAGTTTCCCATGCACTAATAATATATCAACTGAATTACACTGTGAAATTTATAATAATAATTCAAAGTTTAGTCACTTGTCTACAAAACTATGTTCACTTCATTTCATTAGTAATGACAGGCACTAACGCTAGTGATAGAGAAATGTGCCACCAAGTATGTAACTATGTAAGCCAAGCTTACAAAGTTTGTAATAGAAAAAATGTACTCCAAAATAAAACAAGGACTTACATAGAGTGTGAAGAGAACAGCTGCGACCAAAATTAACACTCCCCAGTGGCCAGCAAAGTCATCCATTAATTTTCTAGCTACAAAGACACAAAATACTGCAACAGGTGCAGCTATGAGGAATATAGTCAGAAATATTGATCTACCATCTGGTCCAAAGATGAGCCTCCCTTTAAGGCAAAATATCTGCAAGTTGGAAAACAAACACGGACTTGTAAATGATAACACCATAACTACATCCCTAACAGTTACACGACACCAGGTAAAAGCATTGCCCTAAGGGTCCGTTTGGTATACGGAATTGAAGGAATTGGAATTGAAATGGAATTGAAATTCCATGGGATTTAATTCCATAGAATTGAATTCTACCAATTTCAATTCATTTTTTACACTATCAATTCCAAATCCACACATTTTTTGTGCTACCAAACACCAAAATTGATTCCGTGTACCAAACGGGACCTAAGTCTTCGTAGAACAGCCACTAAGCTACTTCCTTGGTAAGTAAAGGTTAATTCTTAAGTGGAATCAGAGCAATCACAACTTCCTTAAGGCTCCATTTGGTACACGGAATTCAAACTATGGAATTGGAATTGGGGACAACCATTCCAATTCTATTGTTTGGTAGTACAAAAATATGTGGATTTGGAATTGGTAGTGCCAAAAACGAATTGGAATTGGAGAACTCAATTCCATCCAAATCAATCCCATAGAACTTCAATTTCCAATTCAATTCCAATTCCGTCAATTCCGTGTACCAAACGGACCCTAAGAGAGCACTTTTCTTGACAGGAATCCATGATGTACATGAAACCCTTTACACTAAAGTGAAATTGCATATACACATCACAGATCACACAAGTTATCATCATCGTCAAATTACACTTAAATGCAAAGCTAAAACACTAAACATCTGATCTGGATATTCAAATGTGAAATCTAACTGCCAATAGTTGTTGAGCAACAGCAATAACAAGATCATAAAGGACGAATTTTTCAAAGTCAGAACAGATGCCCCACTACCCAAACTAGCCATAAGTAATTAAAGAAATTGTTCTTTCCCGATGACAAATGAAGCATATGAAACAGAGTTTAATCAGCACTACAGTTGCAAAATCAGAACCGAGAGAGGAGAAGGAAAATTACGTTTTTGCCTTTCCAAGCCTGGTAGGTCCGGATCACATGGACCGCAGCGCCGCCGGTCGAATCGGAACTCACAGGCGGAGCCACCGCATACATTTTATTGTTTCAGAGCAAAAAAAAAGGGTATATACCACTCGGAATTACAGCAGTTGATTGGATGGCAAAAGATTGGAATGGGAATGGACTGCAAGTGGAAAGGTCAAATGATGATGAGAACTCAAATGGGGAAATGGCGGCTGCTTCATCACCATTTACTGCGGATTATTCCCGTTACTCTCTCTCTCTCTCTATATCCCCCTTTTCTTCTACCAATTTTCCTCTTTTTCATTATCACCCCCTAATTTGGGGTATCGTTTTGTTCTTTCATTTACGGCGGGTTGACTTTGCTTAAGGTAGGATGTAGGGTACCAATTGGATCACAACCATGCTAGATAGATCCACAAAAGAGTCTACCCTACACCTATCATATGCACCGATATTTTGATAGTACAAATTGACACAAAATATTCGTATAATTTATAGTTTAAAAAATTGAATCGCTAATTAAATCGATCGAGGTACTAGTTCGCTGGTCGAATCAGTGGTTCAAGTGGTCAAAACAGTGCTTTAAACACACACACCCACACACACACACATATATATATATAGTAAAAATAATACTCCGTTCATTTGTATTAAGGATAAATAACTAAATACTTTTATTTTACTTATATTTGTAAAATACTTATTAACTTAGGCTTATCTCTTAGCATTCTTATCCATATGTAGATAGTTGTAACTCACCTAGTTTAATGCCTAAGGGTTAGCTAGTTCAAATCTCCTCCTTGTACGTTTGTGTATAAAGCCACTGGATGTACTAATATGAATCAATCCAGATTGACTGTATACCATTGTTCTCTATATGGTATCAGAGCATTAAAATAATTTTTTTTCTTTTCCGATCCTTTTTAGCGCTATTCCCTGCGCAACTCCTCGGGGACACCATGGCTCCGACGCCTGCCTCTTCGCCCGATATCACCAAAGACACTCCGGTGATCCAACTTCATGCCAAGACTCATTTTCCAATCAAGTTGGTATCCACCAACTTCGTCATCTGGCAACGCCAGGTCCGATCTACTCTCATCGGTTTAGATCTCCTTGGCTATATTGATGATACCATGGTTGCTCCGCCCATGACTCTGGCTGAATCCGCCAATCCTTGCTACTCTATTTGGTTTCGTCAAGATCAATCTATCGTCGGTGCTCTCCTTGGCAGCTGTTCTGATCAGGTTCAGCCTCTTATCTCTAATGCTGATACCTCTCATGCTGATTGGACAAGCCTTCACTCTGCGTTCGCAAGCGCCACCCGCGGGAGGGTTGTATCTCTCAAAACCAAACTCGGAAAGAATCCTCGTGGGGATCGTTCTATGGCTGAATACTTATTTGACATGCAATCCCTTGCGAATGAACTTGCTCTCATTCAATGTCCTATTTCTGAGGAAGATCTTGCCTGTCACGTCTTGAATCAAGTCAGTGATGAGTACGACTCCATTACGTCTGCGGCCTTGCTCCGTCCCACCTCCATTCCTTTTACCGAACTTCAGGATGTGTTAAAGGAGCATGAGCGGAAGCTCAAGGCTGCGGAAGATACCAAGGTTGTGGTTGTCGCTACTGCCAATGTCACGCAGCATCAACGCCACTCCGGGGGTAGGTCCGCCGTGCGTGACTCTTATTCCCACAACTCCTCCAGCAGCAGTGGTGTTAAGAGGGGCAGTAGTGGCAGTCGTGGTTCTCGGTTCTCCAAGCCATCCCACTCGTGTCAATTCTGTGACATCCCGGGTCATGACGTGAAGGAGTGCCGCAAATTATCTCGATTCCTTCGCACGCATGGTGTTAATTCTCTGCCCACAGCAAATGCTACCACTCGGTCTAGTTCTCACAATTCTCCACAGTGGTTATTCGACAGTGGGGCTAGTCATCACACCGCCCCGACTACTCAGTCTCTTCATTCTTTCTCCGATTACGGGGGTCCTGATGAGATCCGCTTGGGCAATGGTAACAGTCTTTTCATTACACATGCTGGTCATACCACTATCCCTACTCCCTCTCAGTCTTTAAAGCTCTCTAATGTTCTTTGTGTGCCCTCACTGAACCGTCATCTTGTTTCTGTATCTCAATTGTGTCAATCTAACCAGGTTTCCGTTGAATTTTTTCCCTTTTCGTTTCATGTTAAGGATCTGAAAACGGGGGCGAAAGTTCTACACGGGGATAATTTGGATGGTGTCTACTATGCCCGGTCATCTCTTCCTTCTCCGCAAGTTCATTGTCACGACCGCGGCTCTCTTTCCGATTTTCATCACAGTTTGGGCCATCCGTCAAATAAAACTATGTTGTCTTTGTTTCGTTTATGTAATAAATCCTTTCGTATGAAGGATGTTCATAATTTTCACTGTTCCTCTTGTGCAATAAATAAAAGTCACAAACTTCCTTTTCATGAAAATTCTCTTGTCAGCACTGCTCCCCTTGAATTGCTCTATTCAGATGTTTGGTCATGCAAAGAGCGTTCTATTGATGGTTATCTATATTATGTTCTCTTTGTTGACCATTTCACTAAATATGTTTGGTTGTATCCGTTGACACGCAAATCTGATGTGTTTAAAATTTTCCTCCACTTTAAACAGTTAGTGGAAAATTTTTTTAAGCGCAAAATTGTTACTGTTTACTCCGACAATGGTGGGGAGTTTCTTAAACTGCGCCCCATGCTAAGTGCTTGTGGTATTTCCCATTTCACAACTCCTCCTCACACTCCGGAGCATAATGGCACGGTTGAGAGACGTCACCGCCATATTGTTGAGACCGGACTCTCCCTGCTCCATCATGATCGCCTTCCTCTATCCTATTGGTCCTACGCATTTCAAACTGCGGTTTATCTCATTAATCGCATGCCCACACCTATTCTCGCCCACAAGTGTCCGTATCAGGTTCTCTTTGGGATGGCTCCTAACTATCTCAAACTTCAACCGTTTGGTTGCTTGTGTTATCCTTGGTTACGCCCTTATAACACCCATAAACTCCAACCCCGGTCTACCCCGTGCATTATATTCTTCTCGGGTACTCCACGACGCAATCGGCCTACAAATGTCTCGATATCTCCACCAATCGCCTTTACCTGTCTCGTCATGTTCAATTTGTTCCTCATGTTTATCCTTCTATCAAACTCCCTGTCCCCTCCTCCTCTCCTGTCTCTTCTTCCGCTACCTCATCTCCCTCATATTCTCCTCCTTTTTCCTCCTCTCCCTGTCTTATGCCAATCACCTCACCTCCCCATTGTTCTCTATAATTTGTACATAAAAATTTATGATGTTTGATTCAAGTTATATTAAATTTATTTTATTTTTTATGTGCATTTATATTTAAAATAAAATTTACATATTGAGAAATACATTAAAGTGATTTACAAGGATGTTTCTATTTTTATTCAAATATTTTGTCTAATATAATCCAAAAAAATTTTAAGTGATTTTTTTACAACAAGTGCTCCATATTAATATCAATTGTATTTTTAAATGCTAAGAATTTTAGTTCTAAAAAAAGAATATTTTTAATACATATTTATTCTTTTAGGTATGAAGTATCTATATTACTTAAAACAAATATATAACAAAAAAGTACTCTTGTTGGTGGGTACCTTGTATCATGTACTAGTATAAGTCTCCTATATTCATAGGAATCAAGGGGAGAATAAGTTTGAATCCTAGAGAGTAAGTTTTTTGACCAATTTTCTTAAAAAAAAGGTTTGACCGGTTGAACTCGCCGGTTCTTACCGATTCACACACGTTCGAGCTAGTTTGGTGCGTGAGGGGGTCCACAGGCCCGGACCGAGAACCGGTCCAAACCGGCCGGTTCAATTCGTTTTTTAAAACTAAGGTACAATCATATTGAATATTTTTTAACGCTATTAAATCGATTACAATAAAATACGCCTATATCCTTCTCAACTTAATGACGCACCAAGAGTCAAGGACTCTGCCTCGGTTAGAGCTCGAACTTGGATGAACTTCTCCATGAATCTTGGCGAGTCGCTTGCTACCACTCACGTCAGCGGAGAAGTTCAAAAATATTAAATCAAATATTATAATATTTTAATTTGTATTTTTCAAATATTTTTAGTACGAATTTGAATTTGAAATTTAAATGAATTTTAAAAAAATGTGTACTTGAATTGTATTTATTAATTAAGATTCAAATAGTATCGAAAATGATGGACTAAAATCAAATTTGAACCTCTTGGTTCACGTTATTTTTAATACGGAGTACTATATTGCCAAAGCATCAATGCACTTGAGTCAAACGAAAAATATGACTTGAAATATACGGAGTATATCAATTGAAAAGCATCGATCTCTTTTATATTTTTGTATTCCTTCCCTCTCAAATTTAATTACAAACTAGACTTAACGAAGAAAATTTTCTCACTTTTTATAATTATTTTATTTACAAATCGATATATCAATAAGAAATCAAAATTACATATTAAAAACTACGTCAAAGGTTCTACAAAACAAGAGGTGACAAGAATATTTTATTTTATCAAATACTTAATAAAATCACGTAAATAAATAAGAGTTATCGAGAGGAAAGGAAAAAATTGTAATCAAAATGAGGACGGAGTGAGTAATACAGTATACTTTAATTTGATGAAATTTTATAATTTAGCTCGATTAAATAATATGTGGTCTACATTATGTACTTTACGAGTAAGTAGTCATACATACAGAAATTACAATGGAAAACATATAGGGTCCGTTTGGTATATGGAATTAACGGAATTAGAATTGAATTGGAATTAAAATTCCATTGGATTCAATTCCATAGAATTGAATTCTACCAATTCTTATTCATTTTTTGCACTAACAATTTCAAATCCACATAATTTATGTGCTACCAAACACTAGAATTGGAATTGAAGTCCTCAATTCCAATTCCATAATTTGAATTCTGTATACCAAACGGGGACATAATATATTATCAGGATCGAGGAGTATACACACCATATAAATTGTCAATATTAAATGTTCATTAGGTGAATTATTTAATATAAAATTTGAAAGTTGATACTTTAAGAATGTGTCATTTGGCAACGTTTGTTGCCTATTTTTTTGACAAGTAATTGCTAGCCACGTGTAGCCGTCCCCTCTTCTTTCTCCGATTGAAACTCTGGCAGAAGGAAATGCAAAATTTACGCAGGGAATCTTCACTATCAAAGGAAAGTCTCAAAGCCCCCTTCCTGCACTCTCGATTTGGTATTATCTTCTTCACCAAAAAAAGTATTTTTCCCCCCAAATCTTTATGGCACACTCACCGTTGATTTAGTAATAAAGGTATAAATCAACGATGTTTTTGAAGAGTTGAAAATAGACCGCCATTAAAAGTTAAGCCTGCAACTATTCCGTTCTTCTATGCATTGGGAAACTTTAATTGTTCATCGGTAAGTGGAAAGGACTGCATTAATTTTTCACCTCGGATTTCTTTAGTAATCCTCCTCTAACTCTTCTACTCTAGGGTTTCCCTTGAATTGAGAAGTGGATCATTTTCTTCACAGAAAGCGGTTTGACATCCGCAGAGAATAACACACCGCAGCCAACAACAATCCGCACAGACTCTGGCTTCTGAAGATGAAACAGCAAAGCCAACAATCCTCAATCGACAGCAATCCGGTAAGTTCAAAAACGGTGCTGCTTGCCGGCGTACACTTCATGAATTGCGAAGTGAGTTTTTGTTTTAATTTGATTTTTAATTACTTTTTTATTTATTATTAGATGTTATTTTCATCGATTCAAGTTTTAGATTTAAGATATTGGGATTTGAGAGTAATTTATATGACAGAGTAATTCAGATTTCAGAGAAAAAAATTATTTTATTTTTTATGTTAATTTATACTTTTTGTATAGATTAGTTGAAGTGTGGAGAAAATTGCTTTTCTAGATGAGGTTGTATTATTGTTGTACTTTTGATGATTTTATTTTTATTGATTTTTTATCTTTTAGATAGTTGGCTAAAAATGTTTGTAGAAATATGAAGCTGGCTATGAGAAAATGTAAAAAGAGGAAAAAGGCAGAATAGGACAATTTCAAAGAGGAATACTTGATAAATTTGTCTCATAGATGATTATCTTATGAACAATAGTTATATTTTTTTTTTAAAGTGGAAAGAGTTGGTGCTCTGATCTAATTGGATTTTATTTTTTTTGTTCATCATGTTCTAAGGCCGCAACACGATCCATTATATTAATCATGATACTGTTTATGGATTTATTCAGACCATATAAGAATTGTCTGTTCTATTTTAAAGGTGCTTCAATTGATTGATTTTTTTTCAATTAAAGATTAATCCTTGGTCAAGATTATTATTCTTACGAGTGCTTTAAATGTCGAAGTAATAATTAATAACAAACAAGTTAGGGCATTCAACAACTTTGTTAGTGCCAGCATTTGTAATAAGCATTGTGTTTGTTGAAACCTACAGACATACCTAATTGTAGAATTGTATTAGCACTAACCTCCCTCTTGAAATTTTCAGGCTCATAGTTGTGAAAATGATGGTTTGTGAATGGATTGGCCATGCCTTTATTTCTTGGTAAAGATCGATTATTAATATACATTCATATCAATCTACTTTATTTGGCATTCACACATTCTTTTTTAATATTTTGCACGATTTAGAAGTCGGAAACATCTTAGGACTTTATTAGGACTCTGATTTTTTTCTAATCATAAAGACTAGTGTGAGCCTATGATTTTTCCAAGTAGAGCTTTAATCCTAAGAGTGTTGCTTTCGATCTTAAGTTTTTATTACAAATCATAGAACCTTTTGAAATGTTTTTTTGTTTCACTCTCTACCATTTGCTTTTTTATAGTGGAAGCTTTTTACTTAGATTACATCTATTAATTCCTACTGCCTATACATTTTATGACTATATGATTATGCATCTTTTGTCAATAATTATAGCTATTTTACATGCTAATGATTCTATGCAAGAAGTGAATACACAAGCTCCAGTTGAGCATGCTCATTTATCTTAGTTTAAAGGAAAAACTTGTGGATAAAGCACTAATGCTAAATACAAAACCTGTTTTACATATTTTGTGATTAGTTTTCAAGGAGAATAAACATCAAGGCGCACGTACTTTTACTTTAGCCACAACTATCTGGAATTCAAGTGCAAGTCTCTCAATTCCTCAGTTTAAGTGAGTATTCTATATATTTTGGTTTACATGACAACTTATGTGCTATAACAATGCTGAATTTAAACTTAGCAAGTTGTTTTAATCACTTGTTTGCATTACAATAATTTGTTTGTAAATTCCTAGGTTTCTTTATGTAGATATCTGAATTTTATGATTCAGATGATATATATATTACTTGAAATTATCAATATTAAAATTATTATCAGATTTTAATTAGGAGCTGAGGTTTAAGTTACTTTTCATTCGTTCAGTTTAATTAATAGGTGTAGTTTTTTTTCTTTATGTACATGTATTTATACTATGGAGTATATACAAAAGTAAAAGAAATTTGGTCTTAAAAATCTGGCTCATGTTTTCCCTGCCGAGAGTATTGTGGCATGTTTATCGTTGAAATAAAATTAAAGGGTTATTGGATGATTTAAAGTGATGTTTATGATTCCTAACACCTCTTTTTTTACTATGAAGACTTTCATTTTCACATTGCAGATAAAGGTTTCCTTCTTAAAGAGTAGGAGGGACAATTGGTCATTCTAGAGGCAATGAAAGGTAAATGTGGGCTTCATTTCAGGGATCTAATTGAATACAACCCAGAACAAGTTCTTCACGTACGTTTAATACAAATAGATGAATTGGATTCAAATGGGAAAAAGTGCTTTACTTTGCTGTTATTCGGAAGTAAATTTTAGTGCGATCAAGTGAAAAAAGGTGTAACAATTTTATCTTTAAAACTACACTTTGTTTTAAAAGAGAGCAAAAGCTTGGTAAAATTCTTTAATCATATACTTTGTATATTTATTATTTGCCCTTATTGTTGTATTTCACATTATGCCTTTATTATTATTATTATTATTATTATTATTATTATTATTATTATTATATTTTGAACTATAATGAATAAAATAAGATAATAAAATGTGAGAACCACATATTTTTTTTTTAAAAAAAATGAAAAGTGTAAACCATTAACACTATGTTTGGTTCAAGGAATTCAAAAGGGAAAAGAAAAGAAAATGAAGTGGAAAACAAGTTTTCTTGTTTGGTTAGAAAAGAAAAGTGGAAGGAAAAGAAAATGAGAAGACAAAATGTACCAAGTGGAGGAAAAACCAAATTCCTCCCATTTTGGTGAGGAAAATGAGAGAAAACTATTTTCTTTTCTTTTCCTTCAAAATTCCTTGTACCAAACATAGTGTAAAGGAGTATATCAAAATTTAAGGGGGAAATGATGTGACGAAAAAGGAGAGAGAGAGGAGTGATAGGAATGAGTAAAGATATTTTAATTGTGCACTGATGGAACATAAATGACATTATTGAATATTACAAATCCTATGTTTTCAAATAAATGACTTTGAACATACATACAAATATGGTTATTTTTGGTCAAATAGCACTAGTGCCCCTCGTGATTTGAAAAAAAATGTACCAATACCTTATCTGTTTTCAAAACTTATTTCTAAAATATTTGTGGTTTCAAAACGTTGCACCTATATCCATTTTGATCATTTTAAGCCATTTTTCTGGTGAAAAGGGGGCATTAGTGCCTATTTTCCAAACAATATGGGGCACCCATGTTCATTTCTTATGTTTCGTTTATTTTTTGTTTTTCACTCTTTTCCTTTATGGTTTGTTTTATTAATCAAGATTTTTTAATTTTTTTTAAATTTTTTATATTGTTCTTAAAATTTAAAATTATTTTTCTTTGGAAAAAAAATAATTAACATATATTGCTTCTGTACATCTCAAATTAACATTTTTATTTTGTTTCCAAAATATTAAAAAAATGAAAAATAAAATAATACATAAAATAAAAATGAATATCATTTTTGGACATCCCAATTCTAAGAATTATTAAGACATTCTAAAAACTCTTTTTGTATAAGACTTTTTTTGCGTGTTTCAATTTTTTTCATTTTGTTTTTCCATTTTTTTTTATTTTTTCATTCTCAATTTTCTTTTTGAACTTACCAAAAAATTATTCTAGAAAACAAAAAGTGAAAATGCATAATTTGAGATATGTTAAGTATATGTTTTTTTTATTTCAAAAACAAAAAATTTTGAATTTTTAAAAACATCATAAGAAATTGAAAAGAAATTTAAAAAACTTTTCTAGGAAAAGGAAACAAAGAGAAAAAAAGAGTTAAAAAACAGAAATAATTCAAATAATAAAAAAATAAGAAACGAGCATGAGTGCCTCTATGGCTTGGAACATAGGCATAAACACCCCATTTTCGCTGGAAAATGATCAAAGGAGGTGTGGGTGTAATAATTTGAAACTACGGAGATTTTAGATATAAGTTTTGAAAATAGATGGGTATTGGTGCCAATTTTCCATACCACAGGGGGCATTGGAGCTTTTAGACAGCTTGTTTTTATACAAACTACACATTTTTTCTCAAAGTATATCTACTTCTTCCACTAAATATAAATTTACAAAAAAGCAAACAACACTTGCACATATTTTAAGGCTTAGGACACACAGAGTAAAAAGATAGACTTTATCGTTTAGACTTTCACTCTTCAAATATTGTTTATTTTACTTTGATTTTGATGTCTATTGTATTAAAAATCATATTGAAAATTATATTTTATTTAATCTATTACATTGAAAAAAATTATTAGAATTTACAAAAAAAATTGTTTAACCCCGTGCGATGCACGGGTCAAAGTACTAGTTTTGGAAATATATGAGTTTAAATTAGAAAAAACTGGAAGAAACTGGAAGGAAATGGAAGAACTAAAAGAAACTGGAAAAAACTAAAAAAATTGGAAAAAAACTGGAAGGAACTGGAAGAAACTGGAAAACTTAAAAAAATTGGAAAACCTAAAAAATTTTAAAAAAATTTATTTTATATTCTTGTTGTTATAAATTATTATTATTATTATTATTATTATTATATTACTATTATTATTATTATTATCATTATCATCATCATCATCATAATCATCATCATCACGTTATCTTAAGTAATGCCTTTAAGATACAAAAAAGTGTTGTTATTTTTCAAATACAAAAAACTAATTTTGCCAAAAATAATAATTATAATATAAAGTAAGCATAAATATAAAAACATTAAATTTTAAAAAGTTTTTGTGGTTACGTTGCACCTCAATTTATTTATGCAGTATTTATTATAGATAATATATTTGTAATTATACTATATATATTACAAGATTTTGTTTTAAATATCAGACATGTCGCATAATGTAATCAAACCTATTTTTTTCATGATTCACATTTTATTTTCCTTGAAATCCTATTTTTGGAATAAAGACATAGAACTTTTTTTTTTTACATTTTTTATGTTTTACTCCTACTTTAGTATTTTTCTCTAAACTATTTTGACTTTCATTTTTTTTATATAAAAATTAGAAAAATGAGAAAATTTTAGGAAATAAAGGAAAAGGTGAGAGGTCTTATATAAAGTTAGATTAATAAAACATTTTATGTCACTATTTTATCCATAATTTTTTAATGTAGTTCAACATATTTATGTTTTAATGTTTTATCATTTAGATTAATTTTTAAAAAAATTGTCTTATTCATATTAAAAAGTTGAAGAAAAAAATAATGAGTAAATTGTAAAAATAGTGAGATGAAAAAAGTAATTTATAAACTATAGTAATGAACATAACAGTTGTCATAATAATAATAATAATAATAATAATAATAATAATAATAATAATAATAATAATAATAATAATAATAATAATAATCACATTAAAAGTATATCATTTTTAGAGTAATTGGTTGGGGAGAAGAAAGAGTTTGAAGAAAATGAGAATAGTTGGAAGAAACTGGAAAGAACTGGAAGAAACTAGAAAAACTGGAAGAAACTGGAAGGAACTATAAGAAACTAGAATGAACTGGAAAAAACTGGAAGTTTAGAGTTCAAGCCCTAAAGAACAGACCCTAAATGCATATATTTGTTAAGTCTTTTCTTTTATTCGATTATACATAAAGATTGTCTTGAGCCACACATTTTTTTTTTATTCTCAAAAATATAAAACATGCAATTTTCAAGCTTTTGCTTTTTCGTTGTTCCATAAAGAGCAATGATGAAGTAAATCTTCTCTTTTATTCAATTAGACATAAAGATTGCTTTTAGTCACACATTTCTTTTTCCCGATTCTCAAAAACATAAAGCATGCATTTTTCAAGCTTTTTGTTTTTTCATTTTTCCATAAAGAGTAATGATGAAGTACGCGGTTTTATGGCTGCACAACCAACCAATTAGAACGGCCCAATTTATGGCACATCATCACTAATAAAATTTTCCCATCTTCAACAACCCAAATGTAGTGCCCCAGCCCAAAAAATAGGCGAGAACACTATTCATTTTTTCCTCACACCTTTGTATAAACTAGTTCTCTAACCCGTGCGTTGCACAGATAGTATTTTGAGTCCGTGAAAGAAAATAAAAAATGAATTTATAGTGTATATAAAGATGACAAAACGAAATTGGATTCAATATAAACATTAAAAGTATTATATACTAATATTGAGGAATGCATAGTGAAGACAAAAAAACAAAATTAAAGGTTTTGAAAGACTTCCTTATACACTATATTTCTAAATCAAGTTAAAATAAATGTTGAACAAAAATAGCATACAATAACATAAAATTAATTAAAATTTCAAGTCAAACACAAAGCTTGAAGATGAGATGTGGTTTGAAAATAACCCTAGAAAAGCGATGTTTCTTTAATGAAAACATGTCGAAAGCATTCGACATTATCAAAGCTCCATCACACGCTTCTCAGTGTAAAGTCATATCATACTTTTACTATTTCTCATAAACTGTTACACTTTCCCATAAGTATTTATTTAAATTATTACAATTTCCCATAAATTTTTAATCTTTCTCGTAAACTTTTATACTTTCCCATAAAGTATTTATTTAAGTTACACTTTTCCATAAACTTTAACTCTTTCCAATAAACTTTTACATTTTCTTATAAAATATTTATTTAAGTTATACTTTTCCATAAACTTTAACTCTTTCCCATAAAATAATTATTTAAGTTAGACTTTTCTAGATTTTTACACTTTCTCATAAAGTAATGATGTCTTTACATTTGAATACGTGAAAAGAGTGGTGAGAAAATAGATGGTTCCGATCCGCTAGGGTGGTTGTTCAAGGCGCATGAATACTTTGTCTTCTACGGGGTTGCAGACGACGCACGCCTTTCCGCGGTTTCGCTCATGCTTGAGGGACCGGCTTTGGATTGGTTTCGTTGGCGGCAACGGAACGCCCTTGTTCCTACTTGGGCTGATTTCGTCTCCCAATTCAAGCTTCGTTTTGACCCATTGAGTTACGTGGATTATTTTGGTCTTCTTTCTAAAGTTCGTCAAACCGGGACGGTATTGGAATATCAACAGGCGTTTGAAAAAGTGTTAGTTAATGTGACGGGTGTAGCGGAGGACAATTTGCAGTCTCTCTTCCACGCCGGGTTGAAATCACATCTTCAACACGAGATTATGTTGCACAAACCAGGATCCTTGTCCGCGTCGTTTGCTTTGGCGCGTGAACTGGAGGTGAAATATCTTGCTTGGACTTCCGCTTTGCCAAATCGATCTGGGGGTTTTCGTGAAACCGTACCAGCAAAACCCACGGCCCTTGCCCAGGCAGTGCCTCTATTACCTTCGCCAGGGACAAAAACCTCCCCACCTGCCACACCTACGGCGGACCTGCCAGTTCGGCGGTTGTCCTACGCCGAAAGAAAAGCTCGTGATGCCAAAGGCCTTTGCTACAACTGCGATGAAAAATGGGTAAAAGGTCACAGCTGCGGCCGATTTTTACCCTTACTGGAGGATGACGAAGAGGAGGAGATTCTGTCACCAGTGGATGATACGGTGCTTGCGGCAGATGTTTCGTCTCTCCATAGTTTGGTCATAGCTCCACGGTCTCTACGACTGTCGGGTATGCTCGGGGCCGTGGTAGTGGACGTATTAATTGATGGGGGCAGCACCCATAATTTTGTTCACCCATCGCTAGTCGCTCGTGCACAGCTTACCATCTCAGACATTCCCCCCTTCCGGGTGTACGTGGGCAACGGTGAATCCTTACTCTGTACTCGGCAATGCCTTAATGTGTCTCTTCTTTTGCAGGGTTTTCAATTCACGGTGGACTTGTATGTGTTGCCTATTCACGGACCTGATATGGTACTTGGTGTTCAATGGTTACAATTATTGGGTCGGGTCACCCACGACTATGCCAATCTCATTATGGAGTTCACATGGCAGGACAAAACTGTTAGCTTGCGCGGCGACCCTCTCTCGCCTAAACCCGTGTCCCTCCATCATTTGAACGGTCTGTGTACCGCCGACCAAGTCGCGGCGTGCTACGAGTTGTTGATTTCCCCAAGCCCAAACAGCGCGCCGGCCAAAGGGGATCACTGGCCGACTGATCTGCCAGGTGACATCGAGCGAGTATTACGACGACATGCTTCGGTGTTTGCCCAGCCCACCGGTTTACCACCACGCCGTCTGGCCGATCACCGGATATTCTTACAACCGGGCACTCCACCGGTTAATGTGCGGCCGTACCGCTATCCTCAGTTCCAAAAGAATGAAATCGAGCGCCTTGTCCGGGAGATGTTAACCCAAGGGTTGATCCAGCCGAGTAGAAGCCCATTCTCTTCTCCGGTCTTGCTCGTCAAAAAGAAGGATGGCACGTACCGTTTTTGTGTTGATTACAGAGCCTTGAACGCCGTCACAGTCCCGGACCATTTTCCTATTCCTACGGCAGACGAACTGTTCGATGAATTGGGCGCGGCACGCTATTTTTCTAAGTTGGATCTCCGTTCCGGATATCATCAGATCCGTATGCACGATCGGGATATTTACAAAACGGCTTTCCGCACTCATGAAGGTCATTATGAATTCCGCGTGATGCCGTTTGGGTTAACGAATGCCCCATCTACTTTTCAGGCATGTATGAACAGGTTGTTCGCGGCCTACTTGCGCCGTTTTGTGATTGTGTTCTTCGACGACATTTTGGTTTATAGTCCCTCTCTTCAGGATCATGCTATGCATTTGCAGGTGGTACTTGATTTGCTACATTCACATACATTCTTTGTTAAGCTCTCCAAATGTTCTTTTTGCACAACGAAGATTGAGTACTTGGGCCATATCATTACCGCGGGACATCTTCACGCCGATAGAGCCAAAATTGCAGCTATGGTGGACTGGCCGGTTCCAAAGACGGTGAAACAGCTGCGGGGTTTTTTGGGTTTGACAGGATATTACCGGAGATTTATCAAACATTATGCACACCTGGCGGCCCCTTTGACGAACCTCTTAAAAAAGGACGCGTTTGGGTGGTCTGACGCGGCAACCACGGCATTTCAGAGCCTCAAAACAGCCCTATCTTCAGCGCCAGTTTTACGCCTGCCAGATTTTTCCAAGCCATTCGTCGTCGACACCGACGCCTCAGGTACCGGGATTGGTGCGGTCCTTTTACAAGACGAGCACCCAATTGCCTATTATAGCAAGAAATTGGGCCCCCGTCGGTTGTCCGCTTCCACCTACCACAAGGAGTTGTATGCCATCGTGGAGGCCGTGCAAAAGTGGCGGCAATATTTGCTGGGCCGTGAATTTCTCATTCGCACGGATCAACGGAGTCTCCGGGAGTTGTTGCAACAGGTTATCCAGACCCCAGATCAACATTTCTATGTGCGCAAGCTGTTGGGGTATCGTTTTTGCATCGAGTATAAGCCGGGGCGCACCAATTGCATGGCCGACGCCCTATCTCGTCAGGAGGCATCCGGGGAAGATGCCGTATTCTGCCAACTGTCCCAACCGTACCCAGAAATCCTGCAGCGCATCCATGAGGAGAATTTTACTCAGCCTGATTTGATCCGCCTCCATGGCGAATTCTAGCGGGGAACTTTGCAGTTGCCATTTACCGTCCTCAATGGTGTCCTATATTATAATACGCGGTTGTGCATTGGAGAACAATCGGGCATCCGGGCCGAGCTGTTACGTGAATATCACGACTCCCAGGCCGCGGGACACACGGGGGTGCACCGCACTTTTCAGCGGTTGGCCCAATCCTTCTACTGGCCGCGCATGCGAGGGGATGTCCGTCGTTATGTCGCGGCGTGTCGCACCTGCCAGGCCACGAAGTTTTCAACACAACCACCTTCCGGGCTGCTTCAACCTCTCCCCATTCCAGAACAAATTTGGGAGGACTTGAGCATGGATTTTATTACCGGGCTACCGCCTTCGAGGGGTTCATCCGTCATCCTAGTAGTAGTGGATCGCCTATCCAAGTATGCGCACTTTGGTGCTCTCCCTGGCGACTTTGATGCTCACCGCACGGCTTTTCTCTCTACGGAGATGGTGGTTAAATTGCATGGGATTCCTAAAACTATTGTGTCCGATCGCGACAGGATTTTCACCAGTGCATTTTGGAAGGAGTTACATGTTTTGAGTGGCACCACGCTCAAACACAGTACAGCTTTCCACCCGCAAACGGACGGCCAAACGGAGGTACTCAACCGGACCCTGGAGCAATATTTACGGGCCTTCGCCAATGCGAAACCGAAGCGTTGGACTATTCTGTTGCCCTGGGCCGAATATTCGGTCAACACGAGCTACCATCATGGGCTGCAGATGACTCCGTTCCAAGAAGTTTACGGCCGGACACCGCCTGATTTGGTCCCCTACACGCGTGGGGCTAGCCGAGTCCAAGCAGTGGATGACATCTTGGGGGAACGGGACGCATTACTACGCCGATTACGTCAAAACTTGGCACACGCGCAGCTCCGTATGAAAAAATTGGCAGATGGCAAGCGCCGCGAAGTGGAATTCCAAGTGGGCGACCTGGTATTGCTAAAATTGCAGCCATATAGACAGCATTCTGTCGTCCGACGCTCCTCTCACAAACTCTCTCTGCGTTTCTACGGTCCTTTCGAGGTACTTGAGAAAATTGGGCCAGTCGCCTATCGCTTGAAGCTGCCCGAGACATCCCGTATACATCCTGTCTTCCACGTCTCCGTACTGCGTCGTTTTCAACAAGGTGCCGAGGTGCCACAGCCCCTGCCTTTGCCATTGGAGTTGGTGGATGGCCAAACCCCGTCTGTCCCCGTGAAGGTTCATGGCCGGCGGCGTGTCCTGCGCAATGGAACCCCCGTCGAACAGTGGTTGGTGGAATGGAGTGATGGGGGATGGCGGATGCTACGTGGGAACCGGCTGAAGTGCTCCAGCAGAATTTTCCCGCGCTTCACCTTGAGGACAAGGTGGTTCCTGATGGGCGGGAGAGTGTTATGAATCCGGCACAACACGAGGAGCCGCCGACTAGGCGTAGCGCTCGGACTAGACGACCACCGGGGTGGCAGCAAGAGTTCGAGATGCATTAATTAATTTACCTTATTTTATTTTATTATTTTCAATGTATCGTAGATTTTCCTAGGTGAGCGAATTATAAGCTCTTTCGAGGGTTTCTTTACGGTTCTTTACCTCGTCGCTTTTCTTGAACCGTCAGGATAGATAACATAGTTTTAGGTTTAGGGCTTATGTCTGTTTCTTTAAATACGGGACTCCACCCTCATATTGAAGGATGAATAATAAACCCTAATCTTGCCCTACCTTCTCTCTTCTCTTTTCCCTGCCGCACCTCACGGCCCTCTCTCTCTACATCACTTCTCCCCCTTGTTCTGCTTCTTGCCGAGCTTGGAGACGCTCCAAGTCTCCTCTACCGATACCTTGTCGTATCATTGGTGCTTTCATTGTTTACTCATGTCCTCCGAAGTGGTCACTCCCGCCGATTTTCGGGATTTTCAACAGCAAATTGATCGCCAACTTTTGGCGCACACTACAACCATGCAAACCCTAAATTACACCATGGAGCAGCTCCAGCAGCGGTGTGAGGCCTTGTTCACCCGTCTCGAGAAAAACCCAGGCACTGGTGGTGCACCGGCGCGCGTGGGTGGTGGTGGCGGTCCGGAAACGGTTCCCTTTACATCCCGATTGAAGCTCGAGACGCCTAAAATAGATTGTTCCGATCCGCTAGGGTGGTTGTTCAAGGCGCATGAATACTTTGTCTTCTACGGGGTTGCAGACGACGCACGCCTTTCCGCGGTTTCGCTCATGCTTGAGGGACCGGCTTTGGATTGGTTTCGTTGGCGGCAACGGAACGCCCTTGTTCCTACTTGGGCTGATTTCGTCTCCCAATTCAAGCTTCGTTTTGACCCATTGAGTTACGTGGATTATTTTGGTCTTCTTTCTAAAGTTCGTCAAACCGGGACGGTATTGGAATATCAACAGNTTTGTCTTCTACGGGGTTGCAGACGACGCACGCCTTTCCGCGGTTTCGCTCATGCTTGAGGGACCGGCTTTGGATTGGTTTCGTTGGCGGCAACGGAACGCCCTTGTTCCTACTTGGGCTGATTTCGTCTCCCAATTCAAGCTTCGTTTTGACCCATTGAGTTACGTGGATTATTTTGGTCTTCTTTCTAAAGTTCGTCAAACCGGGACGGTATTGGAATATCAACAGGCGTTTGAAAAAGTGTTAGTTAATGTGACGGGTGTAGCGGAGACTTGGAGACGCTCCAAGTCTCCTCTACCGATACCTTGTCGTATCAACAACGTTCATATGTTCTCTGATTTAGAGAACAAAAACATAGTGCAGAATAGATTTTATTTTGGTATAAGTTCTATATTTGTCTTAAAAATAAGAAGTTTTATTTGGAACACAGAGAATGTTATGTGCTCCTCTATCCTTAAAAATATTGCATGGAAGCCAAAAAGAGGCAAAGTTTCGGGTCTTTTAATCATTTTACTTAAAAATTGATATAAAAATAAAAAGAGTGGTCATATTTATAAACTACGTAAAAATTTGGAGAATAAAATAAGAGATGACAAGAATATTTTATTTAAAAGTCAACGATAATACTACTGGAGTTCTCCAAACAACACTGAGGACAAAGATGCTTCAGAGGCTATTATGGATCGATCACAGCCCGACATTCAAACCTTACATATCTTTTCTTAAATAAAATAGTAAAATACGTTATTTTAAAAGGATGTAAAAAAAAAAGTTTTAAAAGTTCTTTCATTCTTCCCACAATTTTTTTATATAAATAAAAATGTAATATTGAATTAATCTTAAAAATATTGTGACATAATTTGTAAGAAAAAACATTAATAGAATTGCTATTTTATTTAAATTGACTATTTAAAGAAGTTGTGATAAAAATTAAGAGTAGCGTGAATTAGTTTTAAAGTTATTGTAACATGAGCAAAATATAAGAAAAAACTCATTTGTTATATTATATTATTATATAGAAAAAATTAAAAAAATAAAGTTTGACCGCCCCCCGGTCCAAACTGAAGCCCGGTGAACCGGACCTGACCGGAACCCAAATAAGACATTCTAGAGGATCGAAGACCGGACAGAAAAGAGACCGATCTGGACCAGTCCGGTACGGTCCGATTTTGACCGGGTTTCGGGTCGGTCCGGGTCCAGACCCAATAATGTGTGCTATTGAGTTTTAAATATTCAATTTGAGAACAACTTTACACGTAGTTTAGAAGAGAAGGGACGAAAAGCTAGACATTGTGTGCTAGCATTTTATGACTTGTTAGGAAACTCGAATTTGGATTTCAATTCTAGATTTGACATTAATTACATACGGAGTAATTTAGATTTTAGATTTGAGTCATTCTTTTTACGGATACAAATCCACACCCTCCCTTGTAATTTACAAAGCCAAGCCCACCTTCCCCATTTGTTAACCGGTTACAATTGGAACATGTCATTTATTTAAAGAGCCACATATCATTGTTTTAAAGAGATACATGTCACATTCTTAGAGTTATGAGTCTCAAATTTGTATATAAACGATTTACAATCGAAACTCTCCCCTTCCATTACATACTCCGATATTTGCAAAATAAGTGTGTTAATTCTTTGTTATTGCATTTTTGCATTTGTATGGAGTTTGTTTATGAAAAAGTTGGCCAGTATATATTTTAGTTTATGTTAGTACTCCGTAATATTTTGTTCATTAATCATTTCAAATGAAATACCAATAGTTGTCAACCAACTTCAAAACTCAAATTCCGAAATTAAATTCTTGTAATTTTTCAAACCGCATTTGTAATTTGAAATTAAGAAACTCCAAATTTCACAATTGAAATCCAAGCAAGAGTTCAAATAAATTCCAGTTCTCAAACATAATTTTATACTCCCTTAATTAACTTAAGATGGAGTGAGGGGATTTAAGATGCCCATCCGCACTGATTGGACAGTTATCTAAGAGATATAAATTGAACTATAATCTCTATCAGTCAGTGTAGCGAAAGGTTCCGTATTTTTATATTCGTAGAGGGTCGATGCTTTGTAAGATTGTCCCTCGTATCGCAACCAACCGTTGAACTACGTCTCATCGGACATTGTTGTTTGGTTGCGCGCTTTCATCACCAAAGATTGGGGTACAGCGGCGGGTTGACTATCTTCAGCGCATTCCAGCGTTCAAATGCATAATTAATTAAATGCGCTTTTGTGAGACGCCCCAATAGTAACTTTCCAATACAACGTTGAACTTAAGTGAGACTAGGCCAACTTGTTACTGCCAATTACCAACAACTACAGTCACAACCAATGTTTATATTATAGCACAATGATCAAATAGTGATGAGAATCATTTGAGTTTTCTACTCCCTCCGTTTTTGAAAACACTTCTGATCAGTCCTAATTTTTTGTACACTCCATAAAATATTTTTACTTACACCTAAACTGTCTAAAATACATCACAATATGTAGTTTATTACGGGTGAATTCCCTGTTTGTGTAAAAAGGGTGCAAGTCATTCCTTTATATGTAATTCAAATATACATTTTCTCGAATAATGCCAACCGGATTTGCCTACTCCGTTTTGGAGGTATTTATTTCCCCAAACGGATTAGCCTAATCCGTTTTGCTTTTAATTTTTTTTAATAATTTCTTAATGTACGGAGCTCATTTGTTGCTTAATATTTTTTTTCTTTAAACTTTTTTTTTTAGTTATTTTAACTCCACTTTTATAAACTTTTTTTAAAAACTTTTTTGACTTTTATGAATGAAATCAATTTACTTTTGTTACTTTTAAATTATTTATAAGAAACTAAATTAATTACAAAATAAAGGAAACATACATAAAGAAGATGTGAAAAATATACTATAATAAAATTTTAAAAAAATACTATTTATTGACTTTAAGTTGTATTTATATAACGAGATTAAAAGAACAAGACAAAACTTAATAAATTTATTACTAGAGTACATACAACAATTTATTCATAAAAAGAAGAAGCCAAAACACAATCCATGACAAACTTATTTGTAAAATTTAATAATACATAAACTCAGACATAATTGAAATTCATGACATAGCTACTCCTCGTTACGATGTCTCCGTGGTCGATAGTCCATGTTATTTGGATAACGGGTTCTTGTAGGTCGGCTGGTTCGTGTGGTTTGTCGTGGCGTTGGCCTCAGGATCTCGTACTCCGGAGTAGGCCATTCAGACTCATCTGGTAGCGGCATTATGATGCCAGAGTAAGCGTTGATGTAGGACTAAATTGAAAAAAACATTTGGAATCAAATGATCCACGGTGACACTACAGTAATGACATACTGCGTGGACATGATTGCACGGGAGGTGAAATGTTACCCATTGACCACAGCTACATGTTCGTGCATTTAAGTTCACCGTAAATGTCTCCCGCTGAGCAATGTAGGACGACCCATCTACCACCAAAGAGTATATCCCTTCTTGTGCGTGGTGCTGCACAACACGACAATATAGCCTATTTTCTTCATTTTTCCTAATATGTTTCTACACATTCATATGAAAATTGTAACCCACCCACTTTCTCCACCCCATAAAATCCATAATCTTGTAAGATCTCTATAACACGAGGTGGTCTATTAGCAACAAGAGTCCTCGGGTATATACTAGAACAAGTCCTATGACACTTTAGACTCTTTTTGGCATATTCTTCGTCCGCCCATACCGCATCACCCCTATGTACTCCGCCTTCAAGAACTAAAACGTCTCGTGAAATAGATCCCGGATGAACATCCATTTGTTCCAAAGATTACAACATAACAATTTATTCATTTAATAGCAACTCATTTGTTTCAAACATTACAACATAACAATTTATTCATTTAATAAAAGCACACAATTAGGCAATTATAATAAAAAAAACTCATTAAATAAATCGAATTGTTAAAAATTATCTTACAATCTCAAAATTAAAAAATTGCCAAATTTTTATGAATATTTAAAGAATCAAATTCAAAATTTTACAAACTAATAATATATATCAATTACAATAAAAAAATTCACCCAACTTGGACACTTGGTAATCCTATATAATTTATGCAATTTTATAAAACAAATTATATATATAATAAATCTAATTATTATCATAAAATTATAAATATTTATATATATTAACTAAAAAATAAAAAATACCTCCATGAAACGGAGTAGCCTAATCCGAATTGTCCCTGCGGCGGTGGCGGTACCCTCTCTGGTCAGATATCTCCCGGCGATTCCCCCTCTTCGGCTGGAATGGATCGGATTGATGGTGGAGAATAGCTAAGCCGCTGGAAGGGATTCGGGTTTGGGGTTATCCGTAGGGAGACGGAGTAGCCTAATTCGTCTGGATTTAATTTAGACAGAAACGGATTTGGCTACTCCGTTTGGAATTATTTTTTTTAATAAAATGAAACGAATTTGGCTACTCCGTTTTGTTTAAAATTTTCGAGTAGAAACGGAGTAGCCAAATCCGTGTTGCACTGACAGGAAAAAAATTTCTGACTTACACTGCCACGAATGGAATTTTTTTTATATATGTTGGTCGTTTGCTCGTTTATTACGGGTAGAAGTTGTTTTGGAGATATTTAAGACATTTTAGGTAGAGTAAAAGTATTTTATGGGGTGTGCAAAAAATTAGGGCGGAAGTGTTTTCAAGAATGGGTGGAGTACTTTTCTTTATGAGTAATGCTACGTTCACAAACAGAATGACCACAAACTCCACAAACTTACTATTTATGGTATAAATTCTCATTTTAAAATTGTGTTAGACTATTTAATTCTTTTTATTGAAGTTCACAAAAAATAAGTTTGTGAAGTTTGTAACGATTGTGTTTGCGAACCAAGCATTCTCCTTTCTTTATAGGGGAAGTCCAATTTTTTAACATCACGTTCATACCATGTTCCTCGTAGACACACAGGCAATAACTGTCTTAATAGAAAACAAACAATAATTTCATGTGACCTGTATATATTCACGGGAAATATGATATTAAAGTGGTGTAAAAAAGTTGAAAATTCCCTTAGTCTTTTAATAATCCTTGTGTTTGTTTTTTTACTAAGTTTAAAAATGTGTCAAAAGGGAATATCTTTGCGAATTGATTGCAATGCAACTTATTCGTTTATTTAAAAAAAAAAGTGAGATTGGTTTTTAGATGAATGTAACGGAAAAATGAAACTTTTGGGGGGACATATATATGGAATGTAGTATATTCCCACATTTTGATTTTCAAGATTAATTAATAACTGAAATCAATTTTTTGTACCTATTTT